TTTTTGTTTTAAATTGATGATCAAGCATATATACACAAAGAAAATTACTCTCATGAAGAAATGATTAACATTTTATTTTCTTCTTGGTGTTTTTCCACAGTTCTCAAGTTTTCCATGACGAAAAGATAACTCTGAATAGTTGTGTGACTTAGGTCAGTTAAATAGCCTTTCTCTGTCTTAATTGCCTTACATATAAAATGACTCCTAAGATTAAATGTGCACATGTTTGTTAGGACAGAAGCGAATAAAGGTTATCCATCATCACATTATCATCGCAATCAGGAAAAAAAATGTGACTTTGGTGGACCAAGTTTGCCAGGAAATTTCCAGAAGCCAGACTGGTGAGACCAACAAATGTGTGACTTCCAAAAGGGACAGTCATGACCCTGGGCACCACCCCAGCAGTCCCAGTAATTATGGAAGCAGGTTTCACTGTCCGCTCCCCAAACCTCAGACCCAGTGAGGAAGCAGGCTTTCTCTGCAGCGGCCAACTTCCCCCAGACTCAGGGACAGTGGGAGCCAGACCCAGCGAAGGAGAGTGCGGCCCTCAACTGTCCAACAGAGCCCCCCCTTGGCCCTGCAGAGGACAGTAGTTCTCTTGTGGACTGATATTGCTTGGTGTACGGTTCTTCGAGGGCTGGGCAAAGGTGGGCTGACAGATGTTGAACAGAATGAAAAGTTGGAAGCAGGAGAAGCAGGAGGGAAACATTTGACTTTAGCATTAGATGGTTTGCAATGTGGCTCATGAAATTCTTGAGAATAAAACCATGAGCTTTCATGAGCCAGTGTTAGTCAGCCCCTGCATTTGTTTTCAGGTGGAACAAAATCTGGAAGCCAAAAAGATGATTCTACACCAAGAGTATTGGCCGGTGAGGCTACCAAATTATTTTGAAGGGCAAAAGATCATTCCCAAGATTTTCCTCAGTTGAGAAATCACTAAATGAAATCTATGTGCCTGAGGAAGATCTCTGCTTGAGCAGAACCAAGAGGGCTGAAGCCCGTGACTCAAGGGGCAAATCTAGGTCCAGCAGCTTCAGCATCCCTGGGAGCCTGATAGAAATGCAGAGTCCCGTGCTGCATCTGCTGAGTGAGAATGTGCACTTTAACAAGACAGCTCCCTCTGCAGCGGTGGCTGCCTGTAATCCAGCATGAGAAACATGGAGATACAAGCTGAACATCTCTAAGCCAGAAAACCCGAGTCCAAAATGCTTCAAAACCCAAAACTGCATGAGCTCTGACATGATACCACACATGAAGCAATTCCGCACATGGGCTCCTGTGATGGGCAGTAATCAAACCCAGGCACAGAGAAAACTAGATCAAATTATCTCCAGGCTTTGTGTGGAAGGCATAGACAAAGCAAATTTCAAATTTAGACCGGCTGCCCTTCCCAAGATACCTTGTTATGCATACGCAAATATTTTAAAATAAAAAAATAGTCTGAAATGTTTCTGGCTCCAAGCATTTCTCATAAGGAAAATTCAACCTGTACAACCTTATTTAAGCCAAGAAAGTCCCATGACCGTGACAATCACGCTATTTTGTGTATTAAAAGGAAGCAACTCTTGCCTTTCACAATCCTCTAGAAGTGCCTGAGCATGTCCACACTTTGCCTTTCAACAACGGGACATGGAGCCGTGACAAGTGCCCCCGTCCCCGTGCCCTGCCCCCACCGTGGGGCCACAAAGCCCGAGCTCTGAGATGTTACATGAGGTGGAGAACTATAGATTCCTCAAGAGCTGCTATTGAAGCCATAAGCAGCACGTGCCAATTTGCCCCCCACAATCCTGGCTCAGTCCCCGTGCAGCCGCACATCTGGCTGTCACACACTCTTTTGTAGGACCATCTCAATGGCAGCACTGATGCTGCCTCTCCCCGGGGCCAGCCCACAGTGGCCTCCCTGTGTTCCCAGCATGTGATGTCATGGGCAGAAGTGTCCTGCCAAACAGTTAAGATGTTGCAGTTGACATTGTGTATATTGTATAGACAAACACTGAGATGCAGATTTTTTAACTTATAAAAGAAAGGCAAGATACAACCAAACCTTGTTCTATTGTTCCCCCAATCCACCAATTCAGTGGCACCATGTAACTTGCATTCTTCAAGTACACAATCCTCTCTTTTTCTTTCCGTCATTGTAACCAACATCCCTAAAATCAGAGGGTTCTTGAAGCAGTCTTTTCTCTCGTTTTGTTTCTAGAAAATTCTTGGAAAGCGTGAACAAAGCTGTTCGTTCTCACACCAAGATCCCTTGCACACTGTCTCTTCAGAAATTCTGTTTTTCTGTGAACTTTTTGAAGTACCCTCGTTTGACTGAGGATAGAGGCCTTAACCTCACTACAGCACATGTTCCTCATCTACAGACAGGATGGGACGTGTGGAGTTCCTCATACAAACAGGTTTCAGAGGCACGCATTCTCTTTTTCCAAGAGTGTGCTAACACTGTCATTTTCCAAAGCACTGGGCTCACTCTCTTTCACTGGGCGGAGGTTTGCCATCCTGTAAATTGTAACTGTCAGGTTCAAATGGAACTCCAGGGGGAACAGATAAAAATCATGAAGATGGAGTTCCCCCAAAATGCTTACTGAGACAGATCCTACTGCCGTACAGCCAGTAGTCACACATCACAATGCAGTCTTTGAAACGTGGCCAGCATGGGGTGAGATGTGATATCAGTAGAAAACACACATTGAAATTCAAAGAGTTCATGCAAGTCATGAACCATCCCACGATTCAATGACATACGGAAATGACAACGTTCTGGATACAGTAGATCAAGCGAGAAGTACTTAAATTATTTTCCCTTGTTTACTTGTAGCTGTTTCATTGTGGCAGTTAGAACATTTTAACTTATGTAGGGATGGTGCTGTTCTAAAGAATGATCTATTATCAGTTTGATAATAAACTCTAACTCTAGACTTATGATCTACAATACGGGAATCCCTAATCAGTCAGGCAGTGGTCAGCTAGGAGACATTTGACGGTCCCCGCACTTCAGGGGAAACACACACATACACACACACACACACACACAAAGCAAACAGATCAGGGAAGGAACAAGAGGAGTGAACACAACATGTCCACAAAAGAAGAGAATTGCATGTGCCATGCTCCTGAGTCACGCTGCTGATTGTGAGGCAAGGGATCCTGGGACCTACAGTCTGTGTTTGTCCCCACAAAGAACTTTTGCTCCATTCTTGTTCATGATTTGTTATGCCCAGACATGTCTTAAACACCCAGGGTGTAGCATCCAATATAGACACATGATTTGTACCCTTGATCATAGCTCAAGCAAACACTTCGGTCAACACGAAGATGTTTTCTGCATAAGTAAGGTTGAAGTGTTAGGAGACCAGTATAGTCTCCTCATACATAGAAATGATTACAAAGTGACTAGCCCAAATGGATTTTTCCAAGGAGGAAATGTTTGCCAAGTATTACATGGCCAGCTAATGAAATTAGTATTTTATTTGGGGTCTGCCAAAATAGACTGTAATCTGTTTTCTCACAGCAAGCCCATAAGTTCACAGAGTTTCTAGACCAGAAACCAAAAAGCAACTCAACGTGTTTTACTCAAAAATTTCTAAACAACTACATATAAAAGGAGGTATTTAGAAAGCCATGGAAAATGGCTTTTACGAAAAGCTAGGCATGGTTCAAATTGTTCTACATCAAAATGAGCTTATCTTTGAATTCTATTCTCCATGAACCTTTCGTAGTACCTCTTTACATGTTTGAACAAAACACATTTGGGTATTATTGCTTAAAATTCCAGTACAATGCTTACTTCTCCCTTTCTGGGCAGCCAGTTCCTTTACTAAGTGTTGGAAGTCGACAAAGGAGTTTAACTGCATCGTGCTTAAAACTGTATCTCTGGATGCTTCCACTTACCTATGGCTTAAACGTTGCCTGAAAGTAATTGCATCTAAGAAACTTGGAAGCCATCTAGGTTATTATGTTTCGCACCACCATGATACAAAAAACAACACAACCTTTTGATTATGCAGGGCAATACCAAGTGAGTTACTCTTGAATCCTTGACCAGATTCCCAGTCAGCCATCCGCAGAACTTTGAGATATTTTTAAAATCAAAAGATGATCTCTCGATACGACAGACTATTGAAGGCCGGCTTTGCAGTTTGTTATTTTATTGCACAGATTTCACTTAAAGAACAAAAGGCACCATCAGTGTTTGGAGAGCTTGGGGGTCTCGGATACTGACCTGCCATCGGTACCTACACCCGCACAGAGTCAACAGAACAATGGACGTTAGTCAGCACCCTCAGAGATGGCTAACAACAGGCAAACAGAATGGGGGAAAGCTTTCAAAACGTGTTACACTAAAGCGTGTGCAAAGTGTGCGATTAAAAACTACATCATCCAAACCTGGAAACCAAAGACAGTCTGTGGCGTGTTAGCTGAAGTTATCCTCACTTGTACTGTTATTTATGGCATAATTAAAAACCGTGTGGTTCATTTCCTTCATATAGATGAGTTGAGAATTTCAGGAAACTCGTGATTATAAAAAAAAAAAAGACCAATTTTGAAAAAAAAATATGTACAGATAAATGTAAAATCCCAAACTAAAAAAACATCCCCGCCCCTTGCCCTCAACTTACAAAAGGAAATTTTCCCATGGAAAGAAAAAGTTCCACCGCTCCCCTCCCTTGCACCCTGGGGCCCACATTCTGCAGGGTTTTTTTTTTTTTTTTTTTTTTTTTTTGTATCTCTTAGAAGTAAATGACCTTGGGGCTCAAGAGCAGGCTGGAATCAGAAGCCTGTGGATGAAGCTCCCATTGTCATCTGTAACTGTTTGAAAGGCGTCTTTTACTTCTCTCCCCCACCCCCACCCCACTCAGCACTGTTTGCAAGACATTTCAGATTTAGAGAGAAACAAAATATTTGTTTTAATAAACAAGAAAGAAATGCCCAAGAGAAGAGCAAAGGCCATGAGGGAAAGAAAGAAAAGAAAAAGTGTGGACGCTATCTGAGCTAGAGATTTCTTTTAAGACAACCAAAAGGTCGGGAGTTGAGGGTGGTGTTAAGACTAAGGCAGGCCAGGCCTTTCGCTAGCCCCTCCGGAGCCTGGCGGAGGAGTGCGCCCCTCGCCGCCGCGGGCCCAGCCAGCCTCTAACAGCACCTCGGAGGGCCGCCCGGGGCTGGCTTACACGTGAGCACTCTTGGCGTGCGTCGGGGAGCTGGAGCCCGACGAGTAGTAGAAGCGGTTTTCCCCGAACGACTGGGCGTCTCCGGAGCAGCAGACGATGACACAGCCCCCGACCAGGCACATCACAGCCCCGATCCAGCCCGCGTACAGGGAGTAGCCGAAGCTCACGATGGTGGTCTCCCGGTGGGCGCACACAGGGAACCAGATGGTGGCGACGATGGCGCAGAGGGCTGTGGAAGACAAGCAGAGAGCGTGACCGGCGTGCCCACCGCGCCTCAAGGCTGCAGGTGGTTCATTCGCTCCACCACGCACACTCAGGAAACACTCAGCCAGGGGAAGAGCAAACAGGCTGGCTGCAAACTTGTGTCAGACTACTCGCACAACAGGTGGCAGAAAGGAGAGAATCCCCTACGAGAACACATAGAAATAAATCACCGACGGCCAGAATATCTTTGTTTTTGCTTGCATATTGTAACTCTGCATCCATAGTTAGAAGTCTAGCATTACCACCTACTTCTAATGATCACTTCCCATGTCCATTTTGTTCCAGGTTCTGAATCCCCCGCAGGCAGGTGCTGGGTCTCTACGTTTGTAAAGCCAATGTTTTGCTCAGTCCCAGCCACCTGTATAGTAGCTGAATGGCTGAGTGACCGCGGCTATTTGGAAATGAGAAAGAAGACAGTACCCACCCACCCCCACCTCAATTTTACACTTCTTTCTCCAATTTGGTTAATTCACAGTGCAAAGACCTAGAAAAGTTGCAATATCAGCTATAAATTTGAGTTGGCATGTTATTGTTCACAATCTCAAAATCCCAACTCGCATATGTAAAGAACTGAAGGAGCGTCTGGTGGTGGCATTAGTCGCGGGGGTCCTGCGGCCTCGCACCAGTCAGTGTAACTTCAGATCTGGTTTGTATTGTATACAGTAAAAAAAGTAACCTCCTTACGATTGCTTTCTCTCTCCCTTCTCACCGAAGCATCCCAACAGGCAGGAGTCTAGGAAGACTTAAAAAAATTATTTGGAACTTCTTAAACCAGCCCTGACTTGTGCAGCCCTGGTGGGCAGAGAGGCTGATGACCTGAAATTTGAATTTTAATTAACTTTCATTTCAACAGCCACCCATGGCTAGCAGCTACTGTACTGAACAACACAGCTCTAGAAAACATAATTCTGTTGCCTCTTTTGGTGCCATCTGATTTCTTACAACTAGAAACACAATAGAAATTTTAATTACAACTTTGTGGGCCAGAAGTTGGATGCAGTAGTTACAAGGCACTTGGGGCCACATCCCAAATCAGAGTGCTTGGGATGGAGTTGCCTGCCGCCTCACTTCCAATCCAACTTCCTGCTAATGCTTCCTGCTCGGGTGGGAGAGGTGGGCAGCAGGTGGTGGCTCATGCACTGTGTCCCTGCCACCCACAGGGAGACCCAGATGGAGCCCTCAGCTCCCGACTTTAGCTTGGTCCAGCACCAGCTATTGAAGGCATTTGGAATATGAAGACCTCTCTCTATCTCTTCCTCTCTCTCTCCCCGCCTCCTTTCCAAGTAAAATGAAAACATTTTTTAAAGAGTTTTAGTTGAGATAGCATATGAGATTGGCAGATATAAGGATGATAATGAGGTTTTCCATTCCGAGAAAAGCCATCAGCAAATTCAGACAGATCGTGGCATTGCCAGGCTGGTGTTTGCCACCTAGGGTACCCTTAGAGTACCCTTCTCACTTCCAACTCAGCTAACTTTCTCACTTTTATTCATACTGAGTCATTTTCTAACTTGCCCTCCATGCCTACAGAAAAGGAATATAATTTATCCTTCACATAAATGCTGGGTTCTAAACTGAAAAAAAGATTTACCTCTTCCCCATTTTCAAAGACATTTTCAATAGCCTCATAGCCTACGCGTAAACTAAGCTTATGCCCCAGGCTTGGTGCAGATACAGGGAAATAGAGGTGATTCCGATCCTAAAAAGTATGGTTCCCAGGTAGAAGTCAAGGGGAAGAGCTTTGGAAGGGTTCTGCACTGCTCAGATGGCCTTCTAAGAACCTGGCATCGGTTGTGAACCACTCACACAGTTATGTGGCACTAAACATCAAGTACTGAAGAAGCTAGCATCTCCTCTGACATGGGTCGCACATCAGTGGGCACACTGGTTTGCTGTGATCTTCATTGTAACTCAGTAAGGCACCCAGAAAAGCTTTTCTCTGCACCAGGACAGGGCACCAAGTTCCCTCCCCAGAGTGTTCTAGCCAAAGAGAACTACCGATTGGATTCCCCACCCCAATGTGCAAGGCAGGGGCACAGCCCTGGCACTAAAAGTGTATGTTCCTTCTGCTATGAGCAAAACCAACACCCAAACACTCAGGCTTACTTATGGGGGAAAAGTGGGCACCAGAAAGATGAAACTGATTTGGTTCAATCCAGCCAATCTTTCTCAGGAACAACTGGCAGGTTTCAAAATGGCTCACGGTTCAAATTAAACTTTGCATTTTCCAGTGGCTTTGTACTTATACTCTTCACTGACACAGACACAAGAAGCATTGCTCCCATTCCGTGCAAACCACCTAATTTAACCTCCACATTTGGTTTAGATGTTATAAAATATGACAAAAAAAAATCACTTCTAAGTTAATTTACTTTTTTCTTAAACAAAACAATCAAAGTTATCTTTACAAAGAAAAAGACTTAGTCCCAGTATTCCAAAAGCAACCATAGGTAACAGCAAAACTCATGTTTTGCATGAGTTAGATTTTGTTCTAACATGACTTATTTTAAAAAAATGAAACCATGAAAATGTCTACACACTTGGACAATGAGCATCATAGGTCTGGATGGGAGATCGGTTAAAGAAAAGACAGATGAATGAGATAGTCCTATTCAAATTCTCTTTTCCCCTGCACACCTAGCAAAAGTGACAAGCATCATCAAGTTCTCACGTGACTTTAATATGAAAGTCACAAACTCGTGATTTACTTCATTAGGGATCCACGCAAAGCAAGGCAAATGAGTCCCAGCAGGCACTTTATTTCCTAGCAGATAAATGAACTCCGGGTGGAATTCCTGTGGCTCCCGGGGATAAACCACATCAAAACCACCGAAAAAATGACAGACCACCACACAACAGGAAAGGAAATGAGAGGCACAGTGGGAACCGTGACCCGCAGCTGAACTCAGGACAAAAATGTTTGGAAAGTAAAACGGGAGAATTTACTTGATTTCAACAATGGTTGAAAAGGAGAAAGGGATATGTTTTCACCAATAAAGTTGAAAATACAAGTCAAATAAAGCATGAAATATTAATACAACTGCCAATCATGTTTGGCTTACTCAACCACCTATCAGGCCTGCTGGGTTTATTTTTGTTGGCCTCCCCAACACCACCCCCCCAAAAAAATTAAAAATGGAGCTCAAAATGGTTTTGTTGTTTGAGCAAAATAAAATAAAGTTTTTCTTAAAATTCATACTTATCTCTAAGTTAAAGACCATTCAGGAGCTATCTATCCTTCCTATTTTTTTTAGGTCATGAGGATTTATTTTTAAGTCAAAACTCTAAAAACAAGACAGGAACTTCAGCGCTCATCTTTTTCAGTGTCCTGTCCTATATGCACCTGCAGGAGACACAGGGTTTTACTACCTGTGGCAGAGAAAGCTACTCTGCCACTTGTCAGGAATCTTCTTAGGTTACAAAGAAGGAGACGGAAAAGAACACTTCATTATGTGGGTCACAGTCCTCCAGACTTGGTCCTCTCCTAAGCAGAATCTCTTGCTCTTTGGAGAGCAAGTTTCAATTGACATGCTACAATGCGGTCTTGAGTTGATGGGATGGACACCCTTTGCTAAAAGGTGATAATGATCTTGACTTTATCAAACACAGAAAACATAACATTTGCAAAGTTCATCTTAAGACATGAAAGGCAAGTGGAGCTGGCTTTGAATCTCTTAAGGAGACTAGTTAAAAAATGTGGCAATACGTGGATTTAAATAGAGACAATAGGCACTACACCTCATAAATACACACAAGGATCAGAGAGCAACTAAACACGCTTTAAGTGGCCCAAAGGGGGAAATACAGAAATATGATGAAGTTGAATAACACGGGTGCAGGTGTGTTTTCCATTTGGAGCTCTGCTCTACGAGAGAGAGAGAGTGAGCGTAAGACACGACTCACACCTCCAGGGACAACCCTTTCTCTCTCCAATGAGCCTCTCTTTCCAGGACTTGCCACTTTCAGTGGCAGTCACCGAACAGACTTTTAAAACATTGTCTTCCAGACAACTCAGTGTTTTCATTAAAGGCACTTAACTTACTCACAACTCTAGTAACACCAGGGAAGATCTTCCTCGATACGTTAATAGCTTCTAAAACCCTGGGACTGAATGGAGTGAAGAGCAGAAACTCAAAACACACAGGCTAGGAAGGGTCTGGACTTCCCTCAACTCTTCCTCTGATTTTTGTTTGGGTTTGAAATTTCCCACAAGAAAAACTTCTAAGTCCTTCTCCACTTCACATTTTACAATGTATTGACCACTGTCTTCAATCAGTACTGTTATAACACATACACAGAGCAAATTACAGCAATGGCTATTGTATGGGTCATATTTATTTGCTGATTTCCTGGACATTTAAAGCTAGAAATGTTTTTGGTTTTCTACTCTCTAAAATGTTGCTTTAAGAAAACACAACTGCAGGCCCTGTACAGTAGCCTAGTGGCTAAAGTCCTTACCTTGCATACACCGGGATCCCCTATGGGCTCTGGTTCATGTCCCAGCAGCCCTGCTTCCTGTCCACCTCCTTGCTTGTGGCCTGGGAAAGCAGTCAAGGACTGCTCAAAGCCTTGGGTCTCTGCATCCAATTGGGAGACCTGGAAGAAGCTCCTGGTTTTGGATCGGCTCAGCTCCAGCCACTGCAGCTACTTGGGGAGTGAACCAGTGGATGCAAAATCTTCCTCTCTGTCTCTCCTCCTCTCTGTAAATTCGACTTTCCAATAAAAATAGATATATCTAACAACAACAAAACACACGCACACAAGTGCACAGGACAGATTTCACTGCCACCAGTGACATTGCAGAAGAGATAACAGTGACAGCAACCATCCAATTGATGCAATATTCAAGGATGTTATTTTCCCAGCCTGCTTTCAACATCTCTGCCTTTAGTTCTATTCCTTGCATCATTATCTTTGCTTTCCTTTACCCTATTTGAAAGCAGCCTCATGATTATCGGTTAATTTTTTTCCATCACAGAATGTAGAGGCACGAGGGGCTCACAGAGCAGACAGTGTCGCCAATTTCAGAACAAGGTCATCCCAAATGCCACATCCCTTCCATTATCCGTGCAGTGTGAGATGTGTTTGCCTAAAGTTCAAGAGTTTAGAAAAGGGTTTTCTAACTCTTCTATTCATGCCCTGACATTAAGGGTATCACCATTAGTTCTCCACCCAAGGAGATTCCCATTTAATTGTGTGTGTGAGGCAAGTTCTGTTTATACCATGTTGGCACCCAACCTTAAATTTACCCCCAATTTTCTTTTAACCTGAGTGCGCGGGTTAAAATAACTTGTTCCACATAAGTTATTTTAACTGTCCTTGCTTGTAGTATTTCAGAAAGGAAGAAGACAGGGTTGCTTTGGGATGCAAAGTACATTTCCTTGCCTCCCATTCTTTATCCCATCCTCTAAGAAACATTGAAGCACTTTCCAAGTTGTAGTAAAAATCAGAATCCGACTGAATCAGAGCTAAGATGCAGTGTTTGCAGCAGGGTGATTCAACACGCCTTGTCATACCTGCAAAACACAAACTTCCAGCTACTGATCCCCACATTCTGATCTCTACAGAGTAAACAGAGGAACTATTTCCATTAGGCCCAGATATGATGTGGTATTTCCGAAAACACGGCATTTTCTCTCCTCTACGGTCCCCTATGCAGAGATGAACCTGTACAAATTAGATACGGTTGAAGAAGACCTAGCCGCCCTTTGGGTTACAGGCGATTTTCTCCAACTGTAATACTAGCAAATATTTGCTCAGGTTTACTATGTGCCAGACTGCATGCACTGCTTCAAAAAGTGGAAAACACTGTTTCCACTTTATATTACGTATTTAAGATATTATTCATTCAGCTAAAAACTAATAGATTCCAGATTCTGTAGAGTTGGATCTGACTCCAACTGACAAAACAATTACTGAGTACACTGTTAACCTCCTGCCTTCGCTGGGAAACATAGGATGGATGAGCCTCAGGGCCAGCCCAGCAAGGCACCTGCTGCTCCTTGGGCTGATGGTCTAGCCTAAGGAGCCCTCAGCATCAGGCCCCCTTGCCCACAGCAGGAAATCCTTACTTTGGTAACCTTGGACTCCTGGGAAGACAAAGTGCTTGTACTACAAGCACAAACACTGTAAGCTTTCAGAAAAATCATTACAGATGTGCTGATCAGGAATTTGCATTTTAATGCAAAACATTCATGATTTCCAAAGTAGGACTAGCTTATATCATTGTGTCCAGTTCCTCAGGCCCTTAAACTCTTACTCTTGGGTCCGGCATAGTAGTCTAGAGGCTAAAGTCTTCAACTTGCACATACTGGGATTCCATACGGGAGCCAGTTCTTGTCCTGGTGGCCCCACTTCCCATCCAGCTCCCTGCTTGTGGCCTGGGGAAGCAGTAGAGGATGGCCCAAACCCTTGGGACCCTGCACCCGTGTGGGAGACCCGGAACAAGCTCCAGGCTTGGAATCAGTTCAGCTCTGGCTGTTGCAGCTACTTGGGGAGTGAATCCGTGGGCAGATGATCTTCCTCTCTGTCTCTCTTCCTCTCTGTATATCTGATTTTCCAACTGAAAAAAAAAAAAAAAAAAAAAAACCTCTTGTGCTGGCCAACACTCACCCCTACCTTACCACATCACCATCCAGTAAACCCTTGGACCAGCCTTGGCCCAGAGCTGGCCTCTCCCCACCCACCCCCTTACTGAGAGAAAAAGGAACCAAGCCAGAGAAATACAAAGGAAGCTTTCACTCTCTCCTACCCCTCCCACCCACGCCCAGTGCTGTGGGGGATGGGGCGCAAGCCCAGGCCCTTCGGGCTCTGTGGCGGGAAGACCCAGTGGACATCAGCAGGTGCCACACTTGGGACCATGAGCTTTATGTTTCCAGTGCCAGCTCAACTGTAGTCAAGGCAAGCCTTGGCGGGTGGGATTGGGCCACTCAGCACCCCAATTTCCCCATGGCTTCACTCCAAGCCAACAGGGAAGGAGCAACTGGTATCTGCTACCCTGCTCCACCTTGCTTTCATCATCTGTGACTCTGCCTCTCTTTGCCAACCCCCCTTCAAAAACACAAAGAAGAAAAATTTTTTTAACTTAAAAAAAAAGCACAAAGAAGTTACAAAAAGTACTGAGAAGTTACAAACCTCTGGCTGGTTTTTTTTTCATAACCCAGATCATTCAGCTAGATGAGTCAACTGGCTTAGGGGTGTCTTTTCCCCTCCCCTCTCTTTTCTACAGGGTCCACTGGCTTGTTTGAGTGAGTTTTCTTTCCTATGAATGCCCTGTGACTCCCATATGGAAGCCAGAACATCTTCAGAGAAGCCCCTCAGACAGTAGACTTGTCCTTCAGCCCTGCATGGCTAGGAGTCCGAGAGAAAGCCCAGGCACGGGCTTGAATGGGCCAGTCTGGGATGTGATCTCTGACCCGCATCCAGGCCAGGTTCTCACTGGGCATGCACCTTGCATCAAAGAACTGCAGGTTTTACTTCCTGTCCTCTGCTAGGACTTACAGCATGGTTGTGGAGTTAGCCTTCATTGAGTGACAATGGAGAAAATGAAATTATCAAAAGGAACAGAGCTAGAAGCAATGTTGGTGTGTGGAGTCCAGGTAAGTCTGCTCAGAGGTGCAGATGTCTGAAACAGGGCTGATTCCTGCTGGGGATCCCAGCTCCCTATCCACTGCTGCCAAGCGGTGGGCAAATCCTGGGCTTATGGGTAGCCAGAGTGACAATGGAACCAGGCTTTGCCCGCTGGATGCCCGGCAGCAAGCTCTGGGGTCTTGGAGGTCTGGAGTTACTACCCAGGGACATCCATGGATAAGGCCACAGTACGTGTAGGTGAGGAATGAATCCTGAAGGACACTCAACGACAGGGCCACTGTACTTGCTACATGTGCATAAACTGATTGGGACAGCGGACTGTGTCAGACCCTGTATTGGCAAGCACACACAAGAATCAGGTCTGGGATCACCTCAGACAAAGTTTCTTTGGAATCCCCTCAACTGAATTGCTGGATCAGAACCCCAACCATGGAGAGAACTGTAGATTCCATGGTCTGATCAGGGAGTGCATATGTCAGAGCTGGGTCTCCTCAGTGACTTAGAGCATTGGACAGCATAGCCAAGTGCACATGGATGATATGGTAGTACATTGCAGTCTGCAGAGGACACCTGGTACCATAACAGAGGACAGAAAACAGAACAAATTGCTCGACTATCCCAGCCAAGTGTTGGCAGTAAATATCTGAGCAAACAGAGACTCTAAAGTGGACTATGTCAACCAGTGGATTCTGAAGAGATTTCACTGTGCTTGGAGTGGCGAGATCGGCAGTAATTCAGAAATGTGAAACTATTGAAACCACTTGAGCAGAACCCTTGGAGCGTGCCCCATACCGGGGACCCTGGAGTGGTGTCGGGTGGCTGCCCTCCATCCCAGGGTGCAGAGGCATTTGGGAGGCTGGATGTGGCTTCTCTCCTTGACTCCCCTTCCCCCCCAGTTACAGGAAAGAAAAATGGAAATGGAAATGGTGATGTCACCCGCCTTCCTGTAGCCCTAATCAACTATGTAAAAATCATAAAACATAATAATTAATTTTTTTTTTAAAAAAAAGAGAGCTGGAAGGACAGTCCCACGGGTTGTTCAACGGGGCCCTCTGTGTCAGGCATCATCAACGAAGCAAGACTGGATGCGCCCAGGCCTGCTCAGCAGCCTCAGCTGTCCCTTCCTCCAGCCCATGACCCCACCACTTTCCCTTCAACCCTTGAGTCATGACAGATTCCTCTGTGCTGAGAAACGTATCTGGTCTGGATTGGCTCCTTGTTCTTTGCGCGTATGGCCTGGGGACAAGGATTTCGTTGAGACTGGCACGAGCCATCCTCTATCGCCCTTTCTAAGCACCCGCAGAGCAAAAGGAGCCTTGCCCCACCCAAACCCTCTCAATGCCTAACCTGATGCCGGGCACACTTACTCCAGTAACACTTGCTGGAGAGAAGATCAAGTCGCCACCGCTGGTCTACCTCTCTCAATACCTTATTTCTGTCTGTGCTCTCCTTTATTTTTCTAGTCTTTCATTATTAACTGGGGTTTCCTATATTGGCTTCACCTAAGAATCACCTGGGACTCTAAAAAAAAAAAATATGCCCTTGCCTGGCCCAATCCTCAGAAAATTCCAATCCAGCTGATCCACACTGGGAGCTATGGATGCTCTAAAAGAGACTCCATTGAGGGGCTTAAACAGAGAGCCAGAGTGTGACTCATTCTGCTCTCCTGGTCTCTCGCCTAGTGACCTCCTAGCCTCAGAATCCTCCTTGTCTTCCGGGCACCTTGGATCAACTGGCTAATCCTCTGCCTCAGCATCAGCATCCCATGTGGGTGACGATTCACCTCCTGGTTGCTCCACTTCCCATGCAGCTCCCTGCTGGTAGACTGGGAAAGCAGTGGAGTATGACCCAAAGCTTTGGAACCCTGCACCTGCATGAGACCTGGAAGAAGCTCCTGACTCCTGGATTTAGATCGGCTTAGCTCAAGCCGTTGCGTCCACTTGGGGAGTGAACCAGCAGATGGAAGATCTTTCTGTCTCTCCTTTACTCTGTAAAGGTGCCTTCCAATAAAAAAAACTCTGTTTAAAGCCTCCTTGTAATTTATTTATGTCCCCCCACAGACATACCCACCACTGTCAACTGTTCATGCAATAAAACAGGTCACAGATGGTGGGGACTTCTCCCCCATGGGTTCACAGACTGCCTTTCACACTTCTGAACTCAGTGAGGCACCAAGCCGGAGGTGTGAGACTCGTTGGGTTCCCTCAGAGTGGGGCTGCCGTGTAGGAAGCTGTCTTACCCAGCAGAATGAGCAGCACCCCGGCCAGCTGGGCCCGCCGGTACTTGGCGACGCCAGGCTCATGGCCCATCCGGATGCAAGGGAGCACGGTGAGCAGCAACAGGATGGCTGGCAGCCCCAGGACGGAGGCAGCAATCATCAGGGCCCGGCAAGCTTGCACATAGCCTGGAAACAGAGCAGACAAGTGTGGGTGAGCGCACAGGCCACCTGGTCCCTGAGCCCTGCCTCGTCTGCGCTCAGCACCTCCTCCCGAGCTCCCTCTTGCCCCATGCCAGGGCTAAGGAGCTGCAAACAACTGTCTGAGATTAATGTACATTTTCAAGCTGGAAAGCAACTCAGCTACAAGAAAAGGAAGTAGAGAGACAGAAGTAGGGGCATCCCCCGATTAGACCACACGACCAAGTTCCCAGGATGAGGGGTCAGGGGTCCATTTACAATGTTACATCACCTTGTGAAAGACTCACACGAAAACTCATATCTTCTACTAAGCTTTCTCTGCTGTCCTGGTCTGGTTCTGGTGCGCTGTTGATAGAGTCTACATACCTGGGTGGCCTTGGGCAATGTCTTACTTTTCTCCTCCGGGAGTGAAAATAGCAATAGTAGCTACATCTTTCTAATAGAATTCTATTGAAAGTTAATTCAATAGAATAGAATTTGCAATGCGCAAAACAGGGTTTATGCTAGGCCCAGAATAATGACTCAGAGGCTAAATCCTTACCTTGCACGCACTAGGATCCCATATAGACACTGGTTCATGTCCTGGCTGTTCCACTTCTCATCCAACCCCTTGCTTGTGGCCTGGCAAAGCAGTAAAGGATGACTCAAAGCCTTGTGACCTGCACCCACATGAGAGACTCAGAAGAACCTCCTGGTTCCTTGCTACGGATCACCTCAGTTCTGGCCGTTGTGGCCATTTGGGGAGCGAACCAGCAGCTGGAAGATCTTTTTCTCTGTCTCTCCTCTCCATAAATCTACTTTACCAATAAAAATAAATCTTACCCACCCCCAAAAAAAAGAAAGAAAGAAAAAACACCAGAGTGTATGCTAAGTAGTCATAGCGAATTTGTTACCACTTCTGGTGTTGTAACAGAGACATCCAGTCCTTTTGTCTCCAGGTGCACCAGCTGCCCTTCTCCCTAATTCTGTGTTTTAAATTTGCATTGGATTTGAACAATGCATAGTGCCAAGGAGAGTAAGCTAACATTGGAATGTCTCTTTGCTCTCCAGAGGCTACTGGCCTCACAAGTGCTGCCCCCTACAGGCAGGCATGCTCCATCTTTTGCCACTCCCACAATGCCCTGGACACACACCTGTCTTGGTCTGCAAGGGGTTAACACAGTGCCCACACAGATGATGTAAGTCAACAGGTGTCCGTGAATTGGACAATAAGAGCTGGAAAAAAAAAAAGACTGCCTGGACTTCCTACGGATCAGTAAAGCGCCAAGAAACAACTTTAGAAAGAAGCCAATTATGTGTGCAGTACTAAAGCAAAACAAATAGACAGAGAAGATATGAGGAGGATTTCACAAACTTGAATCCATTGCTTGACTTTTAAATCTGTTTTTCATTACATCAATCCTCCAAGTTAGAGACAGTTTTTCATGACCGCTTACTGCTCTTCATTTTTTTGTTGTTCAAAGAGTCAGAGACACGGTGGCCTGAGTGAGGCAGAGTTCATGGCCAAGCCAAGAAATTAGCCCTAACTTTTGCCTCACATACCAGGACCCTTATACCAAACCCAGCCATGCCATACTCCACTCCAGGACCCAACCTGAACGAATGTGCAAGGGCTGTCTGGCCAGAATCCAGACTGCGCCAAGGCCCTCTTCCCATCGCTGCCCGGGAAAGCTAACCAAGCATGTTTCTGTTGACTTGAAGGTCCCTGGGGAAGTCACCCAGACTTTGAGGCCCAGCCCTTTAGAGGATACAGAGGGCCGCCATCAGAGATCCTGAGATGCATGACACGGGGTGTGCGTGTGTTTCGGTGCCAAGGTCGTAGCTGAAAGACAAGAAGTGGAGACCGGGGACCTGCCCTGCCCCCACGCAAGGGGAGCTGGAAAGGAGGCACTGAGCTCTGCCTTCTGGAGTGTGGTCCATCTTTGAGAACAAACTCCTCCTGCTGAGTGCTCACAAGACTTTACACAGGAGCAAGGAGGCAGAGAGTAATGCTGTGCTTCAGTCAGAAATCCATACACATACTATACAGTTTTCAGGGAAAAAAAAAAAAAAACTACCATTTGTGGTGCTTGCCCTACACCAAAGGTTTACACTTCTTGTCTCACTCAACAATCCTGGCACCCAGATGGCTGGTGGGACTTCCATTTTTAAAAGAGAACAACTAGGGTTCACGGAGATGAGCAATTTGTGCCACATCACCCAGGGCGTGAGGCCTGGACACTGTGGTCTACCACCCATCTCCCACTAACTGAGGCTGGCCCAGATCTGGGTTCACAGACTTCTATTCATCTCCTTGAACACAAGGAAAGGCAGGGATCACAGCACCATGGGCACCTGCTGTGGAGCACAGGCGAGGCTGCGCACATGCCGGGATGCAGACACAGCAGGGCGCCGTCCATAGCTTCCAGCAAAGTAAAATGCAATGGAGTAACATTAATTCGCCAACAGTGAATGAAAATAAGACAGGTGCCCTGATGGGGCCAAGCAGCAAGCATCAGGGTAGCAAGGTGGAATGGGAAACCCAAGACACTGAAGTTGGGAAACAGAGTCTCCCGGAGTCACAGACTCCTGGGGGAGAAGGATTAAGAAGTTCGTGCAGATCTTTCAATACGCATGTTTCACCACTACTAGTGAGAGGAAAGTGGGGTGCTGAAGCCAGGGAGGGCAGGAGCCTGCGGGGGCCCTATCGAGGTTCCCAACTGGGCCACCTGAGACCTCACCGGCCCCGCACCCGGGATGCCAGTAGTTTTAATCTTACCTGACACTGCGCCTGCCCGGGCGGCACCTTAAGATGGGCCGGGTGTGCAAGGGGATGGGGGAGGGTGCTTGTCCATCAACTCAGCCCCCTCCCCACTTCCAATCACAGCTGGGAGTGGGGAGGAGTGACTCCCCAGGGAAAGCCAGGGTGTGCAAGGGGATGGGGGAGGGTGCTTGTCCATCAACTTAGCCCCCTCCCCACTTCCAATCACAGCTGGGAGTGGGGAGGAGTGACTCCTCCAGGGAAAGCCAGACTTCCCGCCCCAAACAGGGTGCGGAGAGGGCCAGGGGAGCCTCCCCCACAACCACCCTGCAGCTTGCGATGAAGAGGAGAAGGAGGGGGCGAGAGTGCGGACAGGGGAAATAGGACCGACACCAGCACCACCTCCGCCCCGGAGCGTGTGGGCATCAACCTGGGATTTACTCAACTGCGAAATGTCCTAGGACATGAATCGCTGGGAGGAGGGCGCGCGCACAACTGAGAGAGCCCCAACCTCGCCAAGGCACCTCACCCGCCCGCCCGGCGAGGACAGCGACATTCAGACTGCGTCCTCCCGGTCGCCTGAGAGCTCACATCCCCTTCCCATCACCACCTTGCTTTCTCCGCACCTGCGGTGGTAGCTAACCCGAAAGCAGGTGTCCCGGGAAGAGATTTGGTCCAGCATGGGTGGGAAAATAGGAGTTCTCACAGACTGAATTACTACTCTGTCCACTAAAATCTCGAAGCGACTTGAGCAGTGAGGCCACCCCAAAATTCCAGATTCAAGAAACAAAACAAGTCTGAGGCTGAGAGATGTTAGGTCCAGAGCTAGCAGGGTGGGGTCCTTACCCGGCAGGATGAGGATGTCCACCAGGGGCTTGCAGTGGTACAGCCCCGTGGCCATGACGCAGTCCGCCCACAGCCCCTTGGAGCCCAGTTCGTCCAGCTTACGGCACGTGGGGATGGTGTAGCCGCAGGTTACCACCCAGTCGTTGGTAGATGTGGTGACGATGATGCCGATCCATCCCACGAAGCTCGTGACGAAGCCCACCACCTGCAGGCACGTGGCCACCATGGTGGCCGCCCCGACGTTCCCGGGAGCCTTAGCCTCTCACTAGTCTGTAGCGGGACCCCTGGCCACACCGCGCCTGCCTTAACCCCGCGGTTTCTGCGCGGCCGAGCTGTTGGAGAGCGACTGCCCGGGGCGGCGGCTGGTCGGGCTCGGACGGCGCGCACTGCTAGCTGCGCTCGGCGGGGACCGCGGCGCTACTCCGCGGCGCGCCCCCGCCCCCTCTTTAAACCCCGTCGCTCCGGCCGGCGAAGTCCAATCGGCGACAGCCCGGGGTCGAGCTGTCCAATCGCAGTCCAGGGTCCGAACAGGGATGAGTGGAAGGGAGGAGTAGCCGAAGGACGCCGCCAAGCCGGACCCTGAGGCTGGCAGCCAGCGCCGGCGTTGCCAAGCTGGAGGATTCGCTCTGGGCGTGCGTCGGGACCCCAGCTGCGATAGGCGTTGAATTCTTTCCCTTTTTATTGACCCTAGGTCTGCGTTCCGCTCTATCCCTCAGCCTCCCTACTTGTCCCCTTCTCGGCTGCAGCCTCTCTGGAGATTGCCCTGACCATGGTTTTGTAGCTGCCTGGTAAATGCTCTAAGCATTCCAGCCTTACCAGAAGTAGGACTGAAGTTATTCTTTGCGTGATTGAAAACCACATAACCTAGAGGCTACGGTCCTCCTCTTGCGTGTGTGCCGGGATCCCCTATGGAAGCCAGTTTGTGTCCCAGCAATCCCACTTCCCACCCAGCTCCCTGCTGTCGGCCTGGGAAAGCAGTAGGCGACAGTGCAAAGCCTTGGGACCCTGCACCCGCGTGGGAGACCACAAAGAAGCTCCTGGCTCCTGGCTTTGGATAAACTCAGCTCCAGCCGTGCCGACCACTTGGGGAGTGAATTAGCAGATGGAAGATCTTTCTCTCTGTCTCTCCTTCTCTCTGTAAATCTGACTTTCCAATAAAAATACATAAATCTTTAAAAATAAAGAAAGATAAAGAAAACCAGGGGGCTGACTTAGCCGTCACAATGGTGACAACGGCAGCAAGCCGCTGTGTCTGTGCTGTGCCTTTTACAATTACTTATTCATCAAATGTGCCTAACAACCCGTGGGAGGAACAGTTGTCAATTACACATAATACCCACAAATACAGGGCAGCAGAGAGCTGGATCTGCCCAAGTTTGCCTAGCTAGGAAAGGACAGACCCCAAAACCCATCTCATTTCATTTCAGAAGCCATGCCTGGGAGTCTCTATGATTCCATTTCTGAGAAGTCCCAAAGGGCTCAGGGAGCCCGTCTGCGACAGCTGAAACCTTGGGTGCACTGAAGACACCCACACTCCACCAGGCTGAGATGCAAGCGTAAAGGCTCAGCTCACCATGGTCAGCATCATGAAGCCACTCTCTCTCCAGCATCTTGATGGGCCATTTCTTGCACGTTTTTAAACCCCGGGCAAAGTCCTTCTTGATTTGCATTGACATATAGCAGTTTTAATTCACTTGGAAACATTTTCCCTCCATCCATTCACTTGGCCACCCTGCCTTCTGAACCTTTCGGATTTTAAAGGTGTGAAGGACCTCATCAAGCACCAAGACTTCTGGATCCGCATTCTGAAATCTCAGATTTGGGATTATAACACTCGCATTGCTCCCTGCTCATGCCTCACGCTGGCAACCTCACTGCCTTCCAGAGGAAGGAAGGGCCTTGAGGAAATGAGCACACCTCCTTGATGCCCCCGGAGAAATCAGGCGCACACATAGAAACAGCTCTGTGCTGGCTGGATCAAAGGCCATGGGAACCCTCCAGCAAGTGTAGTGACTGGGAACACAAGCTGGGCTACCCAAATTCGAATCCTGACTTTACCACTTACCCAGCTGTGGGCAAGATCGCTTTGCCTTTTGTGGCCTTGTTTTCTTGTTGGTAGGACAGAGGTACAGATGGTGCCTACCTCTGAGTTTCTTCATGTTGCTGGGAGTTGATACCCATCCGGGATGGACCAGCTAAGGGCTCCGAGAAGCTGGGCTCCTGCTATGGTGATGTGACACTGCATGTTGTGCTCTGTGTGTTTCCCCTGCAGTCATGTGAGTTGGATTCACCACAGTTACTGTATAGCTTTATGTTATTCTCTTTTTAAAAAAGATTTATTTTTTTATTGAAAAGGCAGATACACAAAGAGGAGGAAAGACAGAGAGGAGAATCTTCCATACGATGATTCACTCCCTGAATGGCTGCAACAGCCCTAGATAAGCCAGTCTGAAGCCTGGAGCCACGAGCCACGAGCCTCCTCTGGGTCTCCCACACAAGTGCAGGGTCCCAAGGCTTTGGGCCATCCTCGACTGCTTTCCCAGGCCGACAGCAGGGAACTGAATGGGAAGCGGGATTGCTGGGATTAGAACCAGTGCCTATAGGGAATCCCAACGCATGCAAGGCGAGGATTTTAGCTACTAGGCTACCATGCCAGGCCCAGCATTATGTTATTTTCTGAGTGAGCTCTGTATTTGGGGAGGCACTTCACCACTGGAGCCTGCATGTTCTCGGGGATTTCCTTGTGATGATTTCAAAAACAGCTCTTGGAGTGGGTATTTGTTGTACCAGTTAAGATCCCACTTGGTCTGCCTACATTCAAGTCCGCGCTGCAGTCCACATTCCAGCTTCCTGCTAGTGCATACATGCCCTGGTGCAGGTGGACCCTGCACCCTGCTCCTGGCCCCCAGCTCCAGGCTTTGGCCCGGTCCAGCCCAGCCATCGCAACAGGTGGAGACTGTCTCTATCTCTCATGCTCTCTGTGTAACCCTGGCTTTCAAAGAAATAACTAAGTCTTATTTTTAAAACAAAAAAATTTTTTTTAGTCATGAAAATTCAACCAATAGTATTCAGCAATGCCCCGATCATCCACGGATGACACAGACGCTTGTAGAGCCAGATTTCAAAGCTCAGCCACATTGTACCCAGCTGATAGGCATGTGGCCTGGCATGGTGCCGCCTGTAACCCACGAGACTCGGGCTCTTCCTCCACATTGTGAAAATAGCAAGTGCTCCCTTGTGGTTAGTGTGAGGCCTCAGTGCAATAATTTCCAAAGTGTTTAGCATAGCGTCAGTATTGATTGATATTCAATAATGTTAGCTACTGCTTGTATTAGTTACAGGCAAATGCAGTCCCTGGGAATGTGAGTTGCTGTTAATGAATGGGAAAGCTAAACTATGAGATTATCAAATGAGAGAAGTCATCTTTGCCTTATGCACATGCATGATCCCAGCGTGCATGCGCAAGAAGCTACCTGCACAACAAGCTGCTTGGGTGAACTAGCTGTAGGGGAGCAGAAGACGTGTCCATTTGAAAGGAAGCATGTAGGGAACCCAGATGGAGCTCGTGGTTTGGCGTGGCACAGCCCTGCCTTCTGGGGCGTGAACCAGCAGGTGGAAGATTCTCTCTCTTTTCCTCCCTCTCTCTGTAACTCTTTTAAATCAGTCAAATGCCTCCGTAATTCCTGAATCTAATTCTACTTCCCAGTTTCTTTTTGATTAGAATCTGTCAACTTAGCATATCTTAGTTTACTGGCATCCCAGGGTTACCACAGCCTTGGGTACCCTGACAGTTGCGAATCAGTCTAGCAGGGTCCAGTCTCCAGAGTTTGCTCCTGGAAGACCCTGCCATGCTGTGTCTTCACATTGCAACCATTAAAAGAGAGCTGAGAAAGTGTCCCAGAGCCCAGATGTCAGGCCACCCTGGTCCTAAGTCCCTCCCTCTTTCCATAGTAAGAAACACAAGGAGAGTCTTTAATCCTTTTCTGATTCAAAGGTGAGAATTGAAAGGCCACTCCATGTCCTAAAACCCAGTTGGTCACTGAACAAAGAAAATGGCCTGGTTTACTGTTTTCTTACTATTCACACCCACTGGTAGTTCAAACTAGCAACTGGATTTGAGCACCAGCGCGAGTAGCAAGGCAACCGAGCCTGCAGGCAGGCATCCTCAGCCTACGCGGGCACCAAAGGCCAAGAGTGAGCTCTCAGCGCCCACTAGTGGTTGTCTTTTACCATGGCAGAGCTGGTAAAAACCATCTCAGGTGTAAAAGGCTGCAGATTATAAGAAAACATAATTCACTTCCACTTCACATGTGCCAAATGAGTGCTAATTAGGACTAACTGCAATGTGCATTTCTCTATGAAAACCTTTTTCATACAATAAGATGCATTCTTTAGGAGCCAGACATCAAAACACAAGACATAAAAAATTAGGTAGGCAAAATTATTAATTTAAACTGTCTAAAAATTCCAATAAGCTCTCTTTCAAGGACATATTTTTGATAGGTTATAAACATTTAATAAAATAAAAACTTCAAGCACAAATATCTTTAGAAGCATTGTAGTACAAATTCAACACATATAAAATGTTATCATGCATGACCTTCCAGAAAGTGGGTTGTGCGGTTTTCTGTCTTTTTTTTTTAAAGATTTATTTTTTTATTATTTTTTCATTGGAAAGGCGGATATACAGAGAGGAGAGACAGAGAGGAAGATCTTCCGTCCGATGATTCACTCCCCAAGTGAGCGCAACGGGCCGATACTATGCCGATCCGAAGCCAGGAGCCACTTCCGGGTCTCCCACGCGGGTGCAGGTTCCCAAAGCTTTAATCACTTTAAGTCCCAGTGTACATTCAAAATGCATCAGAAATGCAGATGCATCAAAATGCAGATGAATTGAAGGATGCTGGCATAGGAATCTAAGACCCTGTATGGTGGAAATGGAAAGGCAGGAGTTGCAGTTGGCCTAAGGGATTGGTGAACAGCGGAACATAGCTCCCTGTGGTCGTAGGACATCACCTCCTGTCCCTTCTCCAGGAGTAGAGATGAAACTTCTGATCTACAACAGAAAATCTCTGCTAACCTGCAGGTGCTACCCTCCAGCAGCGAAGCTCCAACACAGAGGAACAGCACTTCCATCTAGAGTTTCAAGGAAAAGAAGTTGCTTTTTCCAAGTCCTATTTCTTAGCCTTTACCATGCACCTGTGACACTCTTCCTTCAGAAATTCT